CAAGATAGTGATTATAATACAAAGAAATAAACGAAATGTTACTGTCCGAATAACATTCGCTGTTAAGTAAGTTAATAAAAAGGATTAACAAAATTTAACCATAATCAAAATTGATTGTAGGAGAGTTACTATGATCACATCAGAATCTCGCCAAAATTCCATAATCACATTTCATCGTGACAATGGGCTTTAAGTTACATGGACAGAATGCTAGAAACTATCACTGCTGAGGAGTCCCACAATAGGACGAAACGGCCGTCCAGTGCTTTCAGGTTTCCAAAGGTGGTCTAACATCAATCGGTTCATGATCTCAATCAATAACTTAAAAGAACTTGTTTTTATCCCTGCTGGATTCTGTTCAGTTAGATGATAGGAATAAACAAAATACATAATTCAATGATTAATTATACTACTCAGTCAAGTTGTAGTGAACGAGAACATAATTGGGGATGATCGAATGAACTTGGATACAAAATTACAGAATACCTTAATAAAATCTGAGAATCATACAATAAATACTTCATTTGTAAATTGTTAATCGATTGTCTCAGACTTCATTGTTCTTTCATTTCCACATTAATCATTCTTTGTTCTCGTTCTCTTTCCTTCAATCTTCTTAACCTTCTGTCGCCAGGCATTCTACTTTCAATTGATGATACATACTAATTATATCTGTCGACATCAGTAGCACATATCACAAAATCAGTCACATACATAAGATAATCGATTGATTACTAGTCCAGTTTGTTCAAATTTATCGATCGACTAAACATTTAAAGTCATAAGTAATTTATTATCACCATACTCCTGAATGGTAGGTGAATAAATCAATCTTTCACATCCTTGTTTTCTTCTTTAAGTTGACAAACCATTGCCGTTCCGTTACAATGAGTAGTTGGTAAAGCTTTGATCCGTCTACGATTTCAACTGGATCCAACAATCTCCACAACCTCTTACTAATAATTATTATGCTCTTACTAGTAGCTAGCTGCGAGAGGAAATAAACAGAATTCTATTGAGAAGTTGCGAAGCTAAATTGTCTCGGGTGAGTCAGTTACCTACCGAAGACAATGGAAGATGATCGCATAATATCGTGGATGGATTGAAGTTAGACATCAAGACCACTGAATGCCAACTCAGTGATTAAGCGTTGGTGCGCAAGATCAAGGGTTCTGAGTTCGACTTCTGTGTGCAGGATCGTGGGTGTGCACTGCTGAGGAGTCTCATACTAGGATGAAACGGCTATCCAGTGCTTTCAGGTTTTCAGTGGTGGTTTAACTTAGATCGATTGATGCGTCAAATAAAAAAGTATATCACAGTCACAGCAAACAACCGTATCAGTAGAAGAGATCAACGTTTAGCTGATGCATCAGTGACAATGTCGCGCCATAATCCGAGACCTGTCATCTTATACCTGATTGATTCGTCCATAAATTATAGTCTCGCCCACACTTCTTTGGTTTGCTTTTTCTATCTGACAGTAAATGTTGAGTTACGCTTGACAAAATAGAATGGGTTAAAATGCCTGTCTCCATATTGCACTTGTCATGTACGGTCTATTTAAACAAATGAATGATTGAAATAAATTCTTTCAACACAGTTCATATTTAACCTTTTTACCACTGTTACCCAGTGAGATTAGCCTAAGTATAATATACAAACCTAACTGGAGAATTTACATTTCATGCTTCATTTATGGTCGTTCGTAATATAGTCAATACGTTACTACAAAAATAGAATTAGAACACTTTCCAACTGGTTATTTTGTGTTAAAGATCTTCATCAACTTCCAAACCTTCTAAATCTTAATAGAAAAATTTATTGTCTCAAGTCCACAGTAACTCAACGGGATATGAAATAACATCAGTAAATGTTTTGTTGGGTGACTACAGTGCCTTCTCGTGGTGGGGATGTTGTTTACGAAAGTGAGAGGACGAAAAGCGAACGTCCAGCGCTTTAACCGGGTTGGTGGATATGGAGGGTCCACCTAGGGGAGTTGGAAAACCCTCCTTCCAAACCAATGGTGCACATGGTCTCCAGTGTCTTGAAGGAACAAATGGAGTATGAACCAATTATTGATCACTGGCTATCGTGGGACTGCATCTCCTTACGTTGCTCCGATGCCTTGTTGATTACACATCTAGGTCAAAGGCTTGGGATGTGGCCCCCCAAGAAGACCACCTGCTTCGGTTTGGGCACCCGGGCAGTGTCCCAGCCCTCACATAAATCGGATTATTTGTGTGACGCATATCCATTTGATGCCTTTTTGTACCAATGTTTATGTTTTTAAATAAATAAATAATACATATTCAAGATAGCATTAAAACATTACCTATGGCTCACGAAAGCAGTTGCATAACACTGTACAGTGATAACCACACGTTTAGTAAGACGATGAATGGAAAGAAGAAATTTATCTTCAATTAGTTTCTTATTATAAATCTACACTGATATGTGTATGGTTTGCAATAATAAAATAACACTAATCGAGTAGTGGTGTAACATAACTCCGCCTGGAGTCTCTCCTGGGGCTACTGCCGGTCCCAAGCCCGGATAAAGGAGGAGGGTTGGGCATGGGGTTAGCGACCCCATCCCGTAGAAAACTAACTCGCTAAAAAAACGCTAACCAGAAAACTGGTCGGCGGCCTATACTCCATTAGGAGTAACAGGCGTAAGTGGTGTGACATAAGAATTATATAATACCAAAGTGATTATAAAGTTAGTCTCGAATGATCAACCGATTAAATGTAATAAGGGCGATTATTCTAGTCATATAGCAGAAAACCATCCGTCTTGGTCAAGCAAAGGACAGGCAAGGGTGACTAAGACTTCTACTATCGTTAATTTAGTGGATCCAAAACATCAAAGTTGACTTGAATAAAGCTTTTAAGGTTATTCACCATATTCATCTTATAGTTTAAGAATCCCTCTTTTAAATACTGCCAGAGCTATCAGAATCAATATTGATAAACCTAACTTTTGTACTCGGAAGCTTGTACAATCACTACTCTGATCATCAATAATAGGATTATGATTTAACTGTCTATTTCTTGATTCTTTCACAACTACTGTGAAATTGACTTTCTATGAAGTATTATTAATCTGTTAACGTTTTATGGCCGCCAAATGCCCTGGTATGACCGAGAGTAAGGAGGGCTCGCACTCCCCCTCGAAATGCTCTCATTTGACATTCAGTGTCGACACCATATTAGTAATGCAGAGGTTCGGTATCATGTGTTCGGGCACAGAGACGATAATCCAATTGGTGTCACCATCTTGAAACACCGACTTCGGTGACTTGGACATGTTCTACCAATGTCGTCCCAGAGAATCCCTCGTTGTACGTTATTTGCCGACGCTGGGACTGGTTGGAAAAAGCGGAGAGGTGGTCAGTGTATGACATGGTGTCGTGGTATGAAAGAAAGCTGCAAAGGGCTAGCTTCTGTTGGTCCTTCACGACTCCCTGATTGGGGTCCGAGAGATGGTGCTACACAGTGGCTAGAGACGTTATCAGATATGACTCAGAATAGAAGCCAGTGGCGATCCTGCTGTAACCTTCTTTTACTTTCTTCATAAAAAGTGGTTGTAACTTCCTTAACTCAAAGAATTCTCCTGGTTGTGCCTTTCCGTTTCCCCCATTATTATTATTATTATTATTATTATTATTATTATTATTATTATTATTATTATTATTATTATATTACCACACACTAATCTGTGGTCGTTTTTTTTTGTTATATGCACCTCACCTTTTTCTCTTCCCATTTTCATTGTTTTGTGTGGCGCATATATATCTGGTGCCCCCTTCTTGTACCGATATTTATGTTCAAATAAATAAAATAACGTTTTATGACATATTTTCAACTCCTCCAATTAATTAGTTTGATTATTGGAGTCGTCCTTCTTTCTTTTACATCATCAGCACAAAATTCAGGTAGAAGTGAAGCTTTTGCTAATGATGTTCAGAATAACGATGAAAGCTCTACGATCACACCATTCGGCTCAGAGAACAAAACTCCACCAAAATCTTCCACCTGAGTTACAAATCTTCACCATCGCATTTACAATGCAATGTTTGATTGTCTCATACACATCTGTTATGAATATATAATGTAAGCACATAAGTAACCTGGGATTGTCACTACGCTTTATTTAACAACCAACTCCATGTGAAACTATGATAACGACTGTTGATTGCATAGCAATATACAAACGGTTGTTTCGTTACGGAAAAAGATCTAGGTAATATTTTATGCTACTTATTCCATGTTAGTAGTATTGGAAAACTGAGAGACATGTGAATAGTAAGTCTGACAGATAACAAAAGTGGACAATAGAATTACTTATTGTGTTAGAATGATATGAATATAATAGTGAAAAAAACATCCACCAAAACATTCTTAGTATTTAATTTGGAAAAGATGATTGATATCTTTTGTTCAAAAGTATAGATCTACAAGGATTAGATTCTACTTACAGAATGGTGCTCACTTTTACTTCATGTAATTTGAATTAGACAAGTAAAACGTATCCTAATATCATACAATAGTTCTAACTCATTGTTTAATACATAACCCTGTGAACGGTTAATGAATTGCACTGTTTAATTTTTGTTTTCATGTAGTACTACGGTGTATGCTACTTATGTCGAAAGACATAAGTAGTATGTAAAACCAATCAAAAGTGGTAAACCTGGCAGTAGAAAACTAAGAAAATAGAGTTGAAGAAATATTAGGGGAAAAAAGAAAGGAATTGTGAACATGAAGAATCATACAGAATATGAAGGACAAATGATGGAAATTTACAAATGAAGTATTCACTATATGGTTCTTATATTTTACCAAGATACTCTGTAATTTTGTTTTAAAATACATTAGATTGTCACCCACCTATGTTTTCATTCATTAACATACCAATACATGTCAATTAGGGAAAATGATTCATTGTTAGATCATATTGCCCATAGTTGATAACTTTGTAAAAATCAAACTATCAGTTGGGATACATCTGTATATTTGTAAATTATTCTTATTGCAAAAATATATATCAGTACAAAAAGTCTTCTAATTAGTATTCATCTTGATTCAATTTTCCGCGTTTTTGATGGTCGACTGACTTCTTCATCGCTAGAGATGACTAATTGAGGACTGGTTTCTCGAACTGGATGAGCTCGTTTTAATAACTTACGGCTAGGTTCTTCTTTATTCTCATCTAATATAACACAATCACTACAATACAATATGTGACAAAGAAAAAAAAGATATTGGTTCATTTAGACATTTAGTAGAAATATAAAATAGTTCGGTTAAAAAAAGATGAACTACTTTATTTCTAAAAGATAAGACTATTATAATTGTAGCAAGGAAATAAAGAAAATACATTCAAGTTATTCTACTTTTGTATATGGTAGAGTGTTATGACAAGATTTATGATGGGATTTTATGCAACAAGCTTCCAGAAGCTTGGCACTCAGGTCAATCAGCAATCAACAAGCACATTGAAATCGATCCCATTTATCAACCATTCTGAAAAATTATGCACAAAATAGGAACAAAAACCAAACCAAAGGAAAGATACAACCAAAACAAAGAAGTAAACAATGACAGGTTTAAAATCAACAAGAACTAATCAAGATCGAGGTCTACAGGACAAGCTGTGAAACACAAGTGGAGAAATTCGAATACTTCACTTCTATCTGAAGTTTGTGCTGATGATTTCGTTCAGAAGAACGATGAAAGCTCCACGACCAAAACATCCAGCTCAGAGAACAAAACTCCATCAAAATCATCCACCTGAGCTACATATTTTCTGCACCATACAAAAGTTTACACCCAAGTGAATAACCATTAGTCAAGGACAGAAGTATAATATTAATTTGTGCATATAAAGAAACACTTGAGGGGGAAGCCAAAAAAGGAAGTTTAGAGGTGAAAGTCGATGTAGGAGGAATAATAGGAAGTGAAGACGGAGGTTGATTAGGAATACAGTGGTTTTGAGTGCTGTTAGAGGTATGAGGGCGGTTATCACTTCCCGGTCGCCCACACCGTGGAAGGGTTCTTCTGGAGGTACCTGAAAAGGAAATTGGATTAGAGGTGGTCTTAGTGACCTGGGAGCGTGACCGCAGAACCCAAGGGACAACTGCTTGAGGTCGGTCACACACGACCTTTTTATGGGTGATTTTTGTGTTAGCTCCGTACTTGTTGAGACCTTACCGCCGGAGACGGATATCCGTGGGATAAGGAGAGGTGTGCATTTTTAGGGTCGACCTTTTCTAACCCCACCCCTCCTTGTGGGAAGGCAGCATCGCTGTCATGCTGGTTGTCTGAAGGAAACACCTTACTGCTGTCACACCTCTGTACAGTCAGCAGTACGACTTCGCCTTCGGACCTTGGGTTTGTTGCTTTTAGTCTTACCGCTCTTTAACCGACCTGTCTGACATGGTAGGACCTTGAGGAACGGTTGTTCCAGCCAGTATAGCTCGGTTGCTTCATCACGATAGGCAAGCCCGACCACCACGTCAAGGTAGCAACAACGGTCGGGAAATGCAAAGTCTTTTGGTAGCACTGAGCAACAATGCCAAAATGTTTGGAATGCACTTCTCTCTCTCTTAATGCAAGTTGTTGCTTCAGGACTGGTCTGCGTCAACACCTGAACTAAGAATAAGGAGTGGAGTAGTCGAACGCGTTGACAACTTCACTTATCTTGGAAGTCAGATCAACCCTAATGGGTTGGTGTCTGACGAAATCTCAGCACGGATTCGAAAAGCTCGCTTGGCTTTTGCCAACTTACGTCACCTATGGCGAAGGCGAGATATCAGCCCATCAATTAAAGGACGAGTATACTGTGCGGCAGTTCGTTCTGTTTTAATTTACGGCAGCGAAACATGGCCTTTAGGAGTAGAAGACATGCGTAAGATACTAGTATTTGATCACAGATGCCTTAGAAATATTGCTGGCGTCTGCTGGGATCACCGGGTAAGTAATAGTGAGGTTAAATAGGGTATGGTAAGTCAGTTGATGAGATTGTGAGTCTTCATCGACTGAGATGGCTGGGCTACGTGTTGAGTGTGCCTGAACACCGATTACCACGACGTGCAATGCTAACCGGTGTTGGAGATGGTTGGAAGAAAGTTGGGGGCAGCCAAACTAAAACGTGGCATCGGTCCTTGAAGTCACTAACTTCTAGTCTGAGCCATGTTGGTAGATGCAGACTACTTGCTTGGGGTCCGCGTGACCATCGTAACCAATGGTTGGAGACTCTGGGTGACATGGCTCAGAATCGACCACAATGGCGTCGGTGTATACACTCTATCTTCCCTTAAACTAAGAGATTAAAATCGCCTCATATCTTTCTTTCTACGAACTAATTCTTTTTTCCTGTACTATATCCTTATTGCAATCTTTCTTTTATATATTACTACCTCTGAATTAGCTACTTTTATGAATCCGGTGTCCATCTTGTTGTGTTAATGAGGTATGGAAACTTGGACCGATGCACATATATGCCAGGTCCTACGTTGTAGCTGACTGACTGACTTTGCATTTCATTAGCGTCTTTACCAAACAGGACTATGTCATCTAAGTCGATAAGTGGATCTCCTAGTAGGAGACCAATTGCCGAAAATCCAGTCTACGAGCAGTGAGTCTATGATGAAATTAAACAAAAGTGGAGATAACGGACAGCCTTGCCGTACACCACTTAAGGTTACGAAATCAGGTAACAGTTCGCCATAAGCTCTGACTCGATTAGTAGTGTTCCAGTAAAGAGCCTTCACAAGATTTGTCTTTAATTTTATTAGTAAAGACACATAATTTGTGATCCCGTCATGCTCCAAAAATATCTGTAATCAAGTGACCGTTAGCTTTGGATGCACTTCAATTAAAATGATAGTCTTCTGGCAAACAGTATTCTTGATAAGTGCCAGAGCGACAGTTAAGACAAACTAAGTAAACTTTGTTTGTTTAGATTTACATGAAACTATATTATATTTAGAAGTATCATAATTCTGAGATAAAAAGTATGGGAGTAATTTACCACACAATCACTTCCGTTACTTCTACACGTGCACAGTATTGACCTGGATTGGCAAAATCTACTGTGCAGATAAACTGGCCGCCTTGAGTTACTGAGTGTTACAACTTATTTTTGGACTTTAGTCAATGTAATTCATATTCTGCATTTGAAATGAAAGGCTGATTATAGCTAACCTAACTGATAACTAATAGATTTAGAGCCACTATTCAACACCAAGATGCGGGCTCAAGAAAACTAATTGATTTATCCTAGCTTCTTGCAAGAATATCGGATTCGAGTCCAAAATTTAGAGAGTGACTACTCAATACGCATTTGCATGATATTTTGTGAAGCAATAGTTGGGAATACTCAGATAGCATGGTATATTATGGAGTCAAATAGGGAACTCTTAGAAACAACAATAATCTCAACAAATTTTTGTCAGTAATACGTGGATAAACAGCATTTAAGTATCACTGATCAAGTTGGATACAGTTAATTATACTTACTTGTTATTTTTTAGTGAACAAACAGACAGTCTGTGTGTGGGGAACTGACGTATATGCCAAGATGAATCGGATCCTTTTATTACATAAGGTATGTAAGGGGTTTGACAATCTGTAACACACAGGCTGAGAGAATCACCTTCATCACTTGAAGTCGGTAAAACACGAGAGAAGAGTGCACCTGGTTTCTTTACTAACCGTTTCATAAACTTTCGAAGAAATTTTTCTACTTGAGGATTGCAGGTGTCTAGAAGCATTTTAGAAGTGTAGCCTGGCGGGATTTGAACCACTGAAATGACGTAGTCGTCAAGGTCCATTCTCAACAATACCTTCGAGAGATGAACTTTGTATGGTTTGTTATCAATGAAAATGCCCTCAATTTAGTTAAAAAATTGTCTCAGTTTAAATGGATCAAACAGTTGTGTTTATAAACACACAATCGGATCTATTTGAACAATCAGAAGATTCTGATAAGATTATTTCCGGAATATGAATTAGACTGAAGTTATTCACAGACAGAGAAATACCACAATCAATGTGGAGGACTTAACTATACGATGATTAGATGAAAATTTAGTAAATCAAATATTTTCGTAACGAGTGGTTATAGTTGTTGATTTATATGAACTCGTGTTGTATTGTAAGGTGGAGGTATCAGATTCCTTGTTATCAGTTGACCGCAGTAGTTCTAGTAGCAAGTAGTTCGGAATTTTCTCGTTTTTTCTTGATTACACGCGAACGAAGAAGAAATCCGTATAACAGGCAGAAATCACTACTTCTTTGGTCTTTAATCAGTTTTATTTGATACAGTGCTGATAACACTACAAAGCGTTCTATTTGTTTTTAGTTTGTAGACTAGTAATGTAACGCCTGACTATTGGTAAATTTGCCTGTAGTCGGGGGGTACATTCTATACTGAGATGTAGAGGTTCGCGGATAGCCGGAAGGTACTTTGTGTACAGGAGAGTAAGCAGAATAGCGTGAATGAGGAGAGCTACAAAAGAGAAAAGAAAGAGTGAGCCAACGACCCAGAAAGCACACACGATGCACCTGCATTTACTAAGAAGAGAAACAGACAATAATCAGCATTACCATAAGCTTCAAACTAGCATGATTTCCAGTTTTAAAACTAGCAGACAGCTTAGCATGCTACACGGAGGTGTGGTCAGTGTGTTATTCCAGGAGAAAACGAGAAAAAGTCGTCTGATGATACTGATACACTTACACTAAACAATGAGAACAATGAAAAATAGCATACAACACCAGAAGCGTCGATGGGCTGCAGTAGCGTCTGTAGTAAATACTGCGCCATAAATCCAGTCTTAGGTCCTCAATATGCTTTTGACGTGCTAGTGTTGTTTCAGACTAAAGAGAATGAAACGAAATGGTGACAAGTAACTAACCATAATGCGTAATTAACGATAATCTAACAACAAATAAGCAATAGCTACAACGTGAAACTGGAATTTGAAACGACCCAAATGTATGATTACAGAGTCGGTAAAGGTATAATTTATAGACGAGGGAATCAGATTAAGAGCAAAACTAAGGGCATATGTTCGGCGAATCGATACTTCGCTACCGCGCTAGTTTCAAAAAGGGCAGTGATTTTTTACTTGTTGTTATTATACTTGCTTTGGGTACTTATTGCACTAAAAAGCATTCTTGGTCTACTTTAACTAAGAGTACTTTGGTTAAAGTTTGAAATTTTTTGCTAAATTTTGTCCTGTGTACCTGTTTTTAGTCCTTGATTAACACTTGTATTCACATTGTTATCATTTTTTGTTTTTAAACCTTTTAAATCGAATTACAATGGTTGGTAAGACTCACAAATGTGGGCAACCAAATTGTTTGTTCTCCGTTGAGGAGGGAACGCAGTGTGATGATTGTAAAAAGTGGTACCACAAAATGTGTACACGACTAAGTCCGACGGCTTACAAAAGATGCTCGAAGCCTAACTCGCATTGGCTTTGTATGTTCTGCTGTACGAATAAAAAGGTACTAATACAGGAGGCTATGGGCCTATTGGCTTTGGCCTGCAAGAAAAACGATGGCGGAAGCACTGATAACAGGAGCACTGACGACGAAGAATGTGTCAGTGTAGTAAATGCTCCTACTGGACCTGTTAAACACCTGACTGTGGTTAACTGGAACGTGGAATCTCCGTTGACGTTAACAAGGAATGAAGTGTCGCTTGATATTGACATCGGCAGTCATACACCTCTAGTCGAAATAGAAGATCCGGGTAAAACTGTCACCGTTCCACATAGTCTAGGTGTGGCTGTTCTGAGTGGCGACAAATGGACTTCGGTAAGAAGAAAAAAATAAGAAAAAGGCTGTAGGCAAAACGCAGCTGGTCAGCAAGACATTGGAAGGGATGTTATCAGAAGAAAAATCCTCATCGCGTGACAAGACAGACCTCTGTGATAGATCAGTCATTTTTCATAAGATAAGACAGTCTTCAGATACTGAACCAAAGGCAAGATTTGAACATGATCTCAATTATACTAAGACATCATTAAGTAAACTACTTCCAGATACAGTTTCAGGAGTTAGTATTTGTAAGCTTTATAGAATAGGAAAAAAGGCGGATTCCGAAAGTCCTCAGAAAAACCTCCTCCTAAAGGTTACATTCAACACGGTGGAAGAAAGGAACCTGATTCTAAGTAATTCACGTAAACTGATTGGATCCGGAATATATGTCCGTGAGGATCTCAGCCTAGCTGATCGTATTAAGAGAAGAGCTGCAGAAGCGGAAATAAACGAGCGTCGCCAAAACGGTGAAAGAAACCTCGTTCTTAAGGGTTTTCAGATTGTAAAAGTTCGGAGCAAAACGATCCCCAAGCCACTCTGGGTGGCAAGGGAAAGCTCTCCACAGACTTAAAAGTGTGCTACACAAATGCTCGCAGCCTACTAAATAAAATGGCGGAGCTGAAGTCAGTGGTGGATAAAGAAAAACCGGACGTTATCGCTGTCTCGGAAACTTGGTTAACGTCAGAAGTATTAGATAGTGAAATCCAGTTGACTGGTTTCATAACAAGTAGGGCTGATAGATTAAACCGAAGGGGCGGCGGGGTTATTGTGTACACGAAAAGTACCCTAACCATAAGATTAGCTGAGACAGTAGCACATGTTTCAGGGACATGTGAACTGATGAGATGTAAGTTGAAATGCCGACGGCAAGATATTGAAGTAGTTGTAGTTTATCGCAGTCCAGAATGTGTAGCAGATGATTTTCTCCTAAGTAAACTTAAGTCCTGGTGTAACAACGGTAAAAGCCTTGTAGTAGGCGACTTTAATGCACCATATATAAACTGGGTTAACTTAGAAGTAGGGTCGTCCATATCGTCGTTCGACTCCAAACTGTTAGAAACCTCGATTGGACTAGCATTATTCCAACACATTAGAGATCCTACAAGATACGACTTAAGAAACTCTTCTTCTCTTTTAGATTTAGTTTTCACAAACGGTGAGGACGTTGGTCAACCGGCTTTTCTCCCACCACTTGGGAGAAGTGACCATGCAGTCATCTTATTCAAATTCATGGCTGAGATTGCTTGTCAAACAATTGCGCCGGCCCGTCCTAACATATGGAAGGCAGATATGCAGGCAATTAACTCCGCAGCATCGGCTGAGAACTGGGAAATTGACTCAAAGGCATCAGTACAAGAGGCATGGACTCTATTCAGGCAGTTATACAATCGGGTAACTCAACCATACATACCCTGGACTGTCCCAAAGAAAAAGAAGCACGGACATCCCTGGATAGGGCGGGATATTCGACGCTTACTAAGACAAAAGAAGAAATGCTGGGATGTTGCCATCCGCCTCGGCACAGCAGGTACGATGGAACGCTACAGATCGATAAGAAACGAGTGTATAACTAAAATTCGGGAAGCGCAAAGAAAATATGAAATGCAGCTGGCACAATCTGCACTCAAGCAGCCCAAGAGGATATTCTCGTACATAAACTACAGAACAAGGATTCATCATTGGATTCCCAACCTAATTAAAGTAGGAAGCGAATCTGAAATGATAGAGGAAGATCAGGAAAAAGCTGAGGTTATGGCTGACTATTTTGGGGCAGTTTTCACTCAGGAACCTCCTCTAGAGAAAGAACCAGACCTAATTACAGAGTCAACAAACCAGCTGCTCACCGTGGACTTCGACCAAAACGATGTGCTTAAGGCTCTTAGCACTCTAAACATGGGGAAGTCAACAGGACCAGATGAACTACACCCTAAAATCTTGAGACATATTGCCCAATATATCGCGGCCCCAGTGACTGTGATATTCAAAATGTCACTTGACCAAGGTGTGTTACCTATGGACTGGAAGGACGCAATCGTCACTCCCATACATAAAACGGGTCCACGACAAGTTCCATCGAATTACAGACCCGTAAGCCTCACCAGTGTTGTAATCAAAATACTGGAAAGAATAATCAAACGGACCATAACGGCATTTATGGAAACCAATAACTTGCTGAACATGGCACAACATGGTTTTAGAAAGGGTCTATCCTGTACAACGAACCTCCTTATAGCTAGGGAGCTCTGGATTAATGCGCTAGACAACGGAAACTCAGTGGATGTTGTCTACATAGACTTCAGTAAGGCTTTTGACAAGGTGCCAACTAATAGACTGCTACTGATGTTAGAAAATCTTGGTATTGCCGGACCTCTTTTAAAATAGCCTGAAGATTTCCTAGTAGGTCGTAGACAGAAAGTAAGAATAAATTCCAAGTGCTCCATCTGGAGACCAGTACTTAGTGGAGTACCCCAAGGTTCCGTCCTAGGTCCTTTACTTTTTATAATGTACGTTAATGATCTTACAAGTATAGTACAGTCTCCAATGTTATTATACGCTAACGATGTAAGAATTTGGCGAGTAATAACTGGAGAGAAAGACGCATTTACTCTTCAGGCGGACTTAAATAATATGATAAACTGGTCTAAAGAGTGGCTGATGCCTATCAACTCGGAAAAGTGTGTCTACATGCACTTTGGGGATGTAAAGGTTAATACGTACAGCATAGGTAAAGTGCCTGTACCGCTGGTTCTGACTAATAAGGATCTTGGGGTGACAGTGAGTCATGATCTTAAGACCACGAGTCATTGATGGGAGGTCGCAGCTAAGGGGATTAGGACCCCCTGGGCATTAAGATGGACATCCACTAAGTTAGATACTACCATATTCACTACAGTATACACAACCTTGGTTAGAACTAAACTTGAGAACTGCGTTCAGGTTGCAATCCCCTGTTTAAAAGGTGACTCGAATATCCCGGAAAAAGTACAAAGGGCGGCTACACATGCAATTCCAGAACTCCGGGATGGCGGAAAAACTGGACCTCTTTACTC